GTGTGGCAAGGTGGAAAGGCGGCTCTGGGCCAGAGCGAAGGCGGTGCCAGCAGCCAGGGGAAGGAAGACCCATTCTTGCATGAATCTTCATGCATTGGGCCTCTAGTAATATAATAATTAAGAATAAACTTTCATGTACTCACAACTGTAAGCCTACTTTTGCCCACCTCTGTACATATCACTTGTTTTAATTTTCAGTTTCCTAATGATATATAACATTGAGCATCTTTCTTTTTTAAAAAATTTTATTAAATTTACTAGAGGCCCGATGCACGAAATTCGTGCAAGAGTAGGCCTTCCAAGCCCTGGCTGCCTTGGCCCTCACAGCCCCGCCCTGGCTTCATCTGGAAGGTCATCCGGAAGGTCGTCCGCTGTTCGGCTGTTCAATCAATTTGCATATTATGCTTTTATTATTATAGATTGGAGTAGCTATAACACTAAGAGTGAGCCCTAATGTAAACCATGGGCTTTGGGTGATTATTGTGTATCCATGTCAGTTTTGCAGTTATAATAAATGTCCCTTTCTGGTGCAGGATGTTGCTAGAGGAGGAGGCTGTGCATATATGGGGACTGGGAATATATGGGAAATCTCTACCTTTTGTTCAATTTTGCTGTAACCCTAACTGCTCTAAAAACTTGTGTTTTAAAAAAATACTCCTCACCCTTGTTCAGGTTGTAGTGTCATCCTGTACACCAAAAAGGTTGCGGGTTTGATTCCCGATCAGAGCACATACCAAGGTTGTAGGTTCAGATTCCCAGTTGGGGTGCCTATGAGAAGCAACTGATCAATGTTTCTCTCTCACGCTCTCTCTCTCCACCCCTCCCTCTCCCTTTCTCTCCAAAAAATAAATAAAAACATATCCTTGAGTGAGGATTAAAAATAATAAATAAATAAAAATTAAAGTAAAATATAAATTAAAAAAGGAAAAATGCTCAATGTTGTATATATTACTAGGAAATTGCAAATTAAAACAACAGTGAAATGTGTGGTGTCAGATGGTACCTAATTTATCGGTGATCACTTCATAAGTTATATAAATGTCTAATCACTAAGTTGTACACCTGAAACATCATATTGTATGTCAAATGTAATTGAATTTTTTAATTAAAAAAATAAAATTGAAAATCAACAATGAGACACTGCTACACATGTATTCGAATGGCTAGAATTCACACTGTCAATGCCAAATGCTGGTGAGGATGTGGATATACAAGCCCTCTCATTAATTGCTGGTAAGAATGAAAATGGTACAGCCACTTTGGAAGACAGTTTAGCAGTTTCTTACAAAGGTAGACATAGTCTTGTCATTGATCCAGTAATTGCATTCCTACATATTTCCCCAAATGATTTGAAAATGTATGTCCACAGAAAACCCTGCACATGAATGGTATAGCAGCTTCATCCATTATTGCCCAGACTGGAAGCAATCAAGATGTCCTTTGTAGAGAGCACCTGGGAAGGCACATGGGCATTTCTTTAATTATTGTCAGTTGAATCCAGTGGCA